CTCTTCCCGCGCCTAGCTTCCCGCACCCACGGTGCGGTGTTCCGCTGTGCGGGAAACGTCCCGCACCCTCTCCCCGCACTCCATACCGCACCGCACGGCCTTAGTGCCAATGCGAATTTACTATCACATCAAAAGTAAATACCCATCGCTGAGTGACCATATAGGATCCTGATTTGGTCATTAACTAGATTCTAAATTAGTTTTATGATTTCCCAACAGGATCCTGGTTTGGGCAGTTTCATCATTTATCACACCCATATGTTAATACTCACCGGCCAATTATCATTCAAAGCTTTGGCAATCCATTAAACTACAAAAATTCAATGCATTGTGATTTGTGAAGTCCTTCGTAATTACAAAGGTGCCCTATTCAGGTCACCTACAGTTAAAGCTAAAAATGTTGCAACTTGCAAGTATTAATTGTTACTATTTGTTCATCGGAGTCACTGGGCAATTGCATTCAGTCATCTTTTACTATCTGTGAAAGATTTAAAAAAAATACATGTATAATGTCGCAAACAAAAAACATCAATGATTCATCTAATTAAGGGTGAAGATTATTACAAGGGAAGCAACCACAAGAGCCGCTGTGCCCAGAAAAATGCATGTTTTGATGCTGGTTTATCGTCTTCTTCTTCGCTTGCTCTGTTGTTGCTTTTTCAATTTGCTCAGTGTGCTCAATCTGAGCTGCTGCTCTTAGCTCCTCAGCTTTTCTATGAACCAATGCCATTTTTCTCATCATCTTCTCCTCAAATTTTGATCTCATCTTTTGAATCTTTACCTACAAATACAATATATTGATATCCCAAGCCCTTATCACATTACAGATTTACAGTCAAAAGCAAAAGATATGAAATCAAAATATATATCCTTTCCATGTAACTTTTGTTTGCATGCCAACTTTTTTAAATGATATTCAAACTCCAAGCTCAAATCCCAAGTAACACCACTGTGAATACTGAATAGTAGCTTCACATGGCTTGGTGAGTAGCATTGAATATTTGAATAAGAGATTTTGGACCTTTCTGATGCTGTATTTTTTACTATATATTTTAAACTTTTGCTTTGGAACAAAGCAACAACAAGTTGAACAGCAAAATAGAATAGTTTAAAACTTAATTAATACGTATCAAAATTTGAAAAAAAAAAAAACAAGATTTGTTTTACCTCAAGCTTTCTTGATTGAGCTTCTGCTTTAGCATTTTGGAGATCCACCCAAGCTTGAATTTTTGCTTCTTCTCTTTGGTACCTACATTACATAAAATCACAATAGTCAAGTTAGTCAACATCGATCTTTACACCCAAAACCATTAATGCACATAAACACAAACGATAATTTATTCACCTTAAACAGCACTTAGTCTTCTCTTCTTCTTCCCAAACAGAAGGTCGAGGCTCTGAAATGCTTGTTCGACATTCATAGTTCATCTCAAAGTGTCTCAAGCTCTTGGAAATTTCCTCTTCTTCCTCCTCCCTGGAGCTCCAGTTTGAAACAACCAAATCAAAGGGTGTTCCTAGCTTTAATTTAGCTAAATTCAAATCTTGTAATCCTCCAATATTGTCAAAGGAATTTTTGATGTTTGGATCCAATGGGCCTGACCTACTTGCAGGTGTGTTGTGTCGCGGTGGTGACAAGCTTTTGAACGGCGTCGGGCATCGTGAAGTGGTGGAGCTCCCAAGAGGAGTCATGTCCGTTCCAATGTCTCTGCTAGATGGATCTTTGAATAGGAAGCTTTCGTTCAATGGCTCCGAACATTCCAGTTTCGAGAAATTGCGTACTACTTCGTTTGTGAATTTATCTGTGTAATAATAAAAACTTAAAAAGGTAAACATGCAACATTTCCAACACAAAAAGATATTCCATGCATGTACAAAAGAAGTAAAGCAAGGATTATGCATGTGATGATAATTAATGTTTAGCTAATAAAGACAAAATAGATGAAAAGGTATAGAAGAGAAATGGTTTACCTTTTAGAACATCAAAAGATTCTGAAGGTGAGGTCCCATTCCCATTATGATGGCGGTGTTCTTGAAAGATTGAAGCCTTTTCCGCTGGTTTCTCCGATACAACTTTTGTCTGTTGTTTGGTTACATGACTTCCATTACTGCTACTACTAGATTTTCTGGATACAAAATCTGCAGACTTTACAAAACCATTTAGATGGTGATGATGATGATGAGTGGTGGATTCATGGTCCGAAACAAGCCATTTTTCAGCGTCATTCCATTTTGAGGGGACGAAGTTCTTTCTGGTCGTATTATTCCCAACACTGAAGCTAAATACGGGTCGACCCGGTGTCGATGGAGCTTCGACCACATTTCTCTTGTTGTTACCAGCTCCTCCGCCGCCGCCGCCTCCGCCTTTGTTAGCCGGAAATGACTTAACGAAGTCGGAGGTTTCCTTGAGATTGAGCTTAGAAAGAGGATCAAGAGATGTGCTATCCACAAATGGGTTCCCTTTCCTGACTCCTACTACTCCCTGTAGAATAAAAGAATCCATTTAGTAACTTTTTATTAATTTAACAAAACCCAGGAAAAGATTTTTCAAGATAAAATTAACAAATTAAGTACGCCATGAGAAGGTTGAAGGTAGTTGGAGTTGGAGGTTTTGAGATCCATAAGCTAGCAATGTCGAAGGTGTTGATCGAGAGAGAATTGGGTTGAACTAGAGATTGAGTACTGTTAAGCTTTATTGGTTATGTCATATGTGTATGGATGACAGTAACGCCATGAAAAGGAGAGTTTTCTTGGGAGCTTTGGGAGGTGAGAAAAGCAATGTATTATGTATGGAAACCGATAAACGTGACTGATGGGGCTTGTCAAACTTTTTGTTTGTTTCTTTACACAATTTCTATAAAATTTCAAATCAAATCTTGCTGTTTCAAAATCGACAACATTTTCCCTGTTTGGGTATAAGTTTTAACCTCATGCATTTTAAAGATTCTCTTCTCCTGCTTTTGGAATATAAGTTTAATACAAAGAAACAATTAAAGCTTTGAATATAAGAAAAACATTTAGCAAATTGACTATCAATGTACACATACAACAACGACAAAACACTCATGTACAAAAACTGTTTGGCCTTTCTAACAGCCTTTTTTTTTTCTCTTTCACCTTGCAACAAATAACAAACCAATTCTCTAAATCTTTTTCCCCAGAATATTCATGGATGATGATGGTGATGTGCTCAAAAATGAATATTAAAAACACTATATATATGTAAAAAGTAAATCATGAAAATATACATCATTCATATATCATTCCACCACATCTTCAGTTTGTGTGTGTGACTTGCTTGGTACAACAGCTGGAGGAGACCATTGATCGGGTACCATAAGGAAATAGGTTGTCATTGCTTTCCTAAATCTCTTTTTGTACTGTTTGGGCGAGATAACAGTTGGAGACGCGTTTTTGGGTCCCCCAAGGAACCCGGAAGCCTTCACCCATGTCTCCAAATGTTTGTCCCATGTATACTGTCTCATGAAGTCGATAATCCCTAATACCAGTTCGTGTTTCTCTTCGTCTACCCCAACTAGCAACGAATAATCCATCACATCAATCGACTGCATAAAAAGAAAACAAATTAATTCAACCACCTTAATAACAAAATAAAATTATTTAATACAACCAACTTACAGCAAGAAAAGCAGTATCATTCCAGACAGCTCTTTCCAACAACCGTTTGGCTCTGTTTCCGACGAATATCGGAGAAGTTGGCATCGCTTCAATCAGATTCTGATCAAGTAATACTTTGTTACTCCCACTGGAATCAGGATTATACCGTGATCTTGAAGATCCTTTTAGATCATAAAGCCGTGTTAGATTCCTTCCAAATAAGAGATTCTCCATAACCAGCACATCCATCTTCGATTCTTTCCCGCCTTTCATTTGCTTAGTCACCTTTACATCATCAAACAAAATATCGTCACATTAATCAAAAGGTTTTGACCATTTTTTCCGAAAGACTCATCTTTCTTTCTCTTTTGTGAACAAAGATCAAACCTTTTAAATTAGAGGTTTTTTGTCGGTTTCAGGAGCTTTTTTGAAAACAAAATATGAACGCTTTTTCTAAAAGTGATTGTTTTATAACTTTTATTTATTATGTATTATTTTTCTTACAGAACATCACATATCCTCTCTGGATCAGAAAGAATACAGGGGAAAATAATATTAAAAAAGTTACAAAAATGGTCCCTGTGGTTTATCATTTTCTTTGCCTAAGGTACAAACCACAGGGACCATTTTTGCAAATTTGTCAAAAAACAAAAAAAATTGGCCTCCTCAAAAAATGATCAAAGCCAAAGGGCATCAACCAAAATCCTCAAATTAATAATAATTAAAACCCAAAAAATACCACAAGAAACGAACCAAAATAATAAAGATACCTGATAAATGCCCAAAATCTTTGCAAGGCATGTAGGACTTCCAGTACCAATAGACTCAGATAGATACTTGAAGTATGCAGGAGCAAATTTGATAAACGACTCAAGCTCTGTTTTTGTAACTTGTTTGATTATGAACCTTTCATCCAAAGTTTTCGCAAAGAAAACGTTACTTTTACCACCTTGAGCACCCCATTTTTTACACCGACTAAGAGACCGTATATAATCAAGTTCACAAGGGCAACATATTCTCCTTAATGCCTCAAAGCGTTTTGCATAGTAACAAGTCACAGTATATTTCACTTTCCCAAGTGGTCCATCATCTGTAAACTCAACTCTCGCGTGTAAAGCTGTTGTATATGACACAGGGTCAAGCATCAGGGAGCTTCGAGACGCTGACATGGATAAAAGACTTTCATCTCCAATACTTCTAAGAGATTCAAGTGTTGTTTCATCAAAATTGGAAAACGACTGAAACATGACTGGATCAGCAGATTGTGATGTGAAGATAGAAGATGACGATGATGATTCACCATCTCTTAGTCTCTCAAAATCACCGGACATTTGGGAGATATAATCAGCTGAGAGCAGCGTGTATGATATGATACTTGTGGGTTCGTCATCGTATACAGGGACAACAGTGTCATTTACACCCACTGCCATGAGCAACCTAGCGCCACCCTGGAGTTCTGATTCGCGATATGATGAGATGTAAACAGGTTTGTAATCGTTGAGTGTGTCCAGCTTTTGAGAACTTGGTAACGCACGGTAAAAGTTTAAAAATGGCATGCTGAACCAGCTTGTTGCTTCGTCTATATTTTCAGAATTTCGTGTAGACAATGAAGGAGATGAAAGTGATGACTTGGACGATTCTTCCACGCGATCCGCCACTGAAGAATCTGCCACGTCAGCATCAGAAATGACAGATAGAGTATTATCCTTTTGTACCCCTGTGTGATTATTACCTGTCCAGGCAGCATCTAGGGTATCTGACAAACTTGCCATAACAGAAAGCTGCCCTTCGGAGAATGACCTATTTACCCCTACATCGTGTGATGTTGCTGGATCAGAATTTTCATGGTCAGAATCTTCATTGATCACTTGAGGCTGAGTCTCAGTAACATCTGAATCTTTGTATGAATCATTATTTTCGGATCTTGATTCGTTCAGATCGCCACGTGGACTGTTGCTATGAACACTGGCTGCATAAACGAGTCGGTGGTCCCACACGTACGATTGGAATAACAGCTGTCTTCGCAATCGGTTAATCTCAAGAATATCAATCATGTTTTGGCATTTCTTTCCCTCCTGGTTTAAAATCTTCTCAAGTGACTCCTGCAAATATATGTATATTGTATTACCAGATATGTAAAAGTCCATAAGATATGTAGAACATTTTCATATAGATATAAAAATAGGTCACACCTCAAATTCTGCTTTCTCCTTTTGTAACATATCTTCCAAATCTGCTATCTGGCGTCTTGATGGTGAGCTACTATTAACTGAACTTTTCCCAAAATTCTTCTCTGCTATCTGGCTCAGGGCATTAAGGATTTCGGAAAATAACAGCTCAGCCCGGCTAACAACCTGTTTATGCATGCATAACGCATACAATTAAATACATATTCCATGTAATTCAATAAATATTAACATATTGGTAATAATCAAACCTCATTCAGTTCATTTTGTATCCACTCCTGATTCTCATATTTAAAAACAAGTTTCGCAGGTGGAAGGTAAACAGAGTGGACATCAATTCGTGCATAGCGGAAGCAAGCAACCATTTTGCCAAACCTGCATATGAAATAAGAATCAAGCACATTCTTTTTAAGCCTTATAATAACTAATATCCCATTAAAATTTTAATTAATACCCATAAAAGCGAAGACAGTCCCGATGTAGTGAATGGCCACAGTTTGCAACCCTGCTAGCAGCAGCATGGTTAGAAAAGCTGAGTTCTAGAAACTTCCCAAATGATAAACCCCAGGCAGCATCTGACATCACAATTCTTCGAGTTGCAGGTGGGAAACCACTAACCCGTGGACACTTCAAGCACCTGTGCCACATCCAAATCTTGCCTTCTTTTTCTCCTGGTAACAGAATTTCAGGCAACTTCTTCACGGATATGGTTAGGGTTCCTTGCCTATGTGTGTAACATTGTACATGTGCTTCTGAAGGCATCTCACACGAAGGACATCTATAACCCTGAAAAATATATGAAGAACATATAAAGAGTTATTGATAGAAAGAGAGATCTAGAGAGAGGGGGAGAGAGATTTGGCTTACTTGATCAAAGAGATTATCTCGAAGAAAACGTCCCAATGGTTTATCAAAGTTTCCATAATATTTGATGCGAAAAAGATGAGATCTTTCACACACAGTCCCTTTCCAGACACATCGTGATGACAAAGATACCAAAATGCTCTGATGATCTGATGGTGTAGGAGGAAACTCTTCCTTTGATGAAACAGATTCCTCTTTCCCATTTTTTCCATCCATTTGCAAATACAATCCATCATCACTATTATGTGAACTCCTAACCAAACTGTGTTGGGGGTGAGGATGCCCAAACCCATTGGCAGTCACATCAGCAGGATCCTTTGTTTCAATTGGTGCATCAGTAGCATCTAAAGAATCTTGATGGTTATGAGTATTGGATCCAAGTGGCATCAGCATTACTTGTGCCTTCTGGCTCATTATAGAAGAAAATACATCTGCCATAGGAGCATTGTTTGACCTTTCTGTTTCAGTGTATTTATGTGGGCCCTCGGATCTCTCGTTTGGTGGGAGAGTAAAACCAGGTATTGTTGAAATTGACCGGTCAATACTTGATGCCTTATCAGGAAGTGCCACAGTTAGTGGAGAATTCAAGGGCAGTTCGGGCAGTGAAGCTCCTTCATCAGCAAGAAAAGATGTCTCCAATGCCAAATGATAAGCAGCAAAAACTCCATACTGAACCACATGCTTCACTTTCTTCAATTCATCACCACTTGCACCTCTGAGTAATATCTACAAAAATCAACAAGCAAACATTACAGATTAAAAATTTGAAACACATAGATAAAGAAATCTTAACTTTTCATTTCTAACTTACAGTGCAACCAAAGGGTTTTGGACACCCTTCAAAGTACATCAATGTCTTCAAAGATTTCTTGCCAGCCTGGCCTGCAGTTCCATGTTCTTCAACAAACTTTTCAACATGGAACAAATCACAGTATCCCAATTTCTGAGAGGAAAGATGGTCAATTGAAGGAACTATCTGAGCACCAGTGCATCGGGCTATTCTTTCCAAAAGTGGCCTTTTGATATTCAAAACAAGTGATATGTCTTTTGCCAGGAGATATTCTTGTGCATATCGTGAAACTGATTTCTCTACCAAAAGTACATCAGGCTGGTGGGCATCTATCTTTGCTACAGCCATCTTCAGATGATCCATTTCCTAGACAGAGGGGTAAAATGGTAAATTTGAATGAACCAACATTAGGGCAAAAAACAAAAGGGAAAAATAGAAACCTGTTGTAGTAAAGTATCAAAACTTGATAGGAGGTTAGAAACTCGTTGATACTCGAGAGCACCTCCAAGAATCATGAATCTTGGTTTCTCTATTCTTGATGTCATCCGCCTATGTGCCACATTTTTCTTACAAACAACTCCTTTGACCACCATACTGAAAAACCAAGAAATTTATATTTCAGATATCTGAAAATAATTATTTACATAAGATACTAAAATTCTTACCTGTCAGAACGACGTCCAGTAGCTAAACATTTTATCTTCACATAACCTCCTGGATCCATCCCACCACCTTTACTTGTGTCTGGTTTTAGCAATGATGCAGCCTCCCATGACAACGATGTGATTATCTCTAACCAATCATCTTTATCATCTTCTTCACCTACAGAAAGGTTCTCAACCTGCAACAACTGAGATACTAAAGCCCTAAAGTGTCCATCAACTACAGTCTTCATTGCCTGCTTGTGCTCTTCATTTGATTTATCCCTATTGCGAAACTCTCCACTCCCAACAGTGTCTGAACTACGGGTATATCCCCACTCTCCTGCACCATCCCCATCATCATCATCATCAAATAGAAGTGGTTCTCTTTCGTCTTCTTCGTCTTCAGGTTCAGGAGGTAGCCATAGGAAACCATCGTTCTCAAAATCAACAGGCTCGGATTCAATGTCTTGTGCAGCATATAAAGATGAAGAAGAAGCTTCACATTCATCATTAACATCAGGTTCATCTTCTTTTTTCTCGAAATACCTGGAATCAAAACTGTTTTGTAATGAAGAACTGCTTTCACTTTTTGCAACAGTGGCTTCTTCTCCATCTGGATGCACTTTACGAGATCCGTAATCATTGCTGACATCATCTAGTTGTAGTTCATCATAATAGGAGTTATCAACAGTGATTTCATCGTGTAAATTTGATTCCATCACTGAAGATTGACGAGGACTAATTCCAGAATGATTTGGATTCTGTTGGTAAGAGTCGACTGAATGTGGGAAAGATGTACAAGTTACAAAACTACTGTCAGCAGTGCCACTAGATTTGGTACTGACGAGACTGGCAGTGGAAGGAGAAGTGCTGAGATCCAGGCTGGTGACCTGGATCCCATGATCAACAGAGGTGTCTAAGCCACCTTGCTGCCATTGTTTGAAACAGTAATTACAAACCCTAATCTTCCCTGAATCTTGCCTGATGGTATCTGAATCAGTAGACTGTGGAGTCACCCAATTGTCAGTGCACTTGGCACAGAATACACGGCCACAAAATCTACAGTGATGTTTGCGATTGTAAAAGGTAAACTGGGAATCACACTCGTAGCAAACCCTGCAACTCTGATCGGGCATCCAAAAGTCCCTCGACACATTAGCTGGCTCGGACCGCCGAGGGACCCATGATTTCAATGCGCCTACCAGATCAGATAATCGGTTGTCCGATGCTTCCATGGACAAGCAATCCCCTTATCGCACTCATTGCAAAATACTCATCTGTCTACAACCACATCTGATTTTCAATACAAGGTTAGCGATTCACAAAACCTAATCGACTTACTAGATCCTCGCCACAAACTCCAACTCGAAACCACAGATCAGATTGATGGAGTTAAACCCCAAGGATCGTCGACGAATTCAAAACTTGGAATTAAACGTTTTAAAACCGGAAACAAGAAGTCTTACTCGAAACGCCAACGCGAATCTGGCTGTCGTCAACTTTAAACGCGGAATTATTAGTTGCAAACCGATATTCCAGTCAATTCAATCAGAAGCCTACATCAGATAGATTTATGTCAAACATTCATATAAGAAGAGAGAAGTATAGTTGAATCTATTAAAAACAAATTAAATATACAGGTAATCAAATTAGGAAAGTAGGCATCATCTGTGATGCAAGCTGTGTTACCTTTTGGATAACAATCAAGAATCCCAATCAGATAGATCCCCAAGGGTTTAGATTATAAAACAACAGAAAAGAAAAGACAGAGATTAGAAAGGGAAAATGGACAGTCGCCCAACAGGTTTTGGACACGAAGTCATGGAAACCGTGAACCGCATACCGGAAAGGTAAAATTAGGTTTTCGTGAAGAGAAAGATGTTTGAAAGTTTGACACGGCGGTGTTGGTTTTTAATCGATTTGATAAAATGAAATGGATTTTCTTCTGGTTGTGATTCGTCGGTTGAATGAGAATCTACAATGGAGATCGAGAGTGTGAGGAGGGGCCGTAAAAGAAGACTTTTATTTCACCGCTTTTTCCATTTGCTTTGCTCGGAAGTACATAACATCAAATTATCAATCACGGACACACCGGAAGCGGACGCCACGGGACCATTGCTTACTCTTTGGGTTTTCTTCTTTACTCTTGACATTGCTTAACCGTTTTATTTTCGGATAACACTGTAATTATCGGCTGTTACAACTTATACAATAAGTTTTTGATGTATATATTATTATTCAAACACATTGATTTTTAATAGGGAAAATACCGATAATAGTCAAAAAATGGGGGATATTTTCAAAATTTAGACATGAAAATGGACATTTCCGGGTATAGACATGCATTCCGCGGAGGTAGCTCCGCGGAATCTACTGTAGCTCCGCGTAATGGCAAAATCATAAATAAACTAGTGTATTAAAAAACAATAATAATAATAAATAAACTCAAGATCCATTCCGCGGAGCTACAGTGGATTCCGCGGAGCTCCGCGGAGTTAGCTCCGATGAATTAATCTTCAGTTTAAAAAAAAACTTCTCCAATTATTCTTTTATGTAATGATCTCTAATTAAAAGACCAATTTTTTTCCACCTCACATTCATTCCAAACATTATCAAGAAAAATTCATACTATCATAATCTTTTCTTGAAAATAATTAGTTGGGGGGAATGAATATAAACCCCGAAGAATAGATTTGAAAAAAAAAAAAAAAAAAAAACTGAATATCCATTCCTCGGAGCTACCTCCGCGGAGCTCCACGGAATACAACATAGCTCCGCGGAATGGATCTTGAGTTTTTTTTTAATACACTAAACTATAACTACAAAATTGCACCACACCATCCGAAACTCTTCGAAATGGTGGCACAAGAAACATTAGACTCTAAGGTGTTCTTTTTTTTTCAAAGCAAAAATTTATGAAGTCTGCGGACTACTTTTACAACCCTCTGTAACAGAAGAGATTGATCAAACGGTTGCAGACTGTAATAAGAAGTATGTTTGTTTTTTAATATCTGCAGATTGCTACAATAAACTGAATTTAAAATAAACTGGTTTTATAAACCGAAAATAGTTTTTCAACACCGAAAATTTAATAATTCTAGTTATAAAACATTGAAATAAATTATAAAATCAAATTAGTCTTACAAAAACAATTTGAAATGGAATTCATACAACCAAACTTTAATAATTTTCATTCCACATTTTGCATCAACTGTTCGGCAATTTCACCCCGTAACTGGGTCATATATTCACGGTCTGTTGCAGTACCATGTGTTGGAATCTCATCTTCATCATCATAAACGGGCGCATTGTTATTTCGACAATCAAGATAAACAAGTTGTTAAACATACGCCTCAACTTATAGACTTGTGGCTTGCGAATATAGCTCAACAATCAATAGAAACATGTTGACCAACTCCTCAAAATAAAATAAACAAAAAAAAAATTCTCAACGTATCAAAAGGTAATAACAACAAACAAAGATCAAGATAAACAAGTATCATTTCTTCCATGAATATGGTTTTTTCACATACGGATATTCTACAAATTTTAGTTCCCAATTCACCCAAATATAATCTACTAACCTAATTGTACAAAAATTTCATTCATATGGATGATTGATTAGCAACTTGTTTTGATCCTGTTATGGTGGCACCAACAGCAGCTGTGAATGTAACCGCAGCTCCACCAAGCTTTACATCACCTACAACTTTACCATCATATTTTGATATTTTCATGCTCGTCTTTGTCAGCCTCAATTTCTTCATGTTTCAACGTACAATCTGTATCATCCCGCCAAGATAAATCAGCATAACAACATGTAACATTCGTCACTTGAGGTATTATTTATTTTAAAATACTTATTTGTCACACCCCCGAAACCAGACGGCGGAAACGTCCGAGGGCTCGCGTGACTTAAATTGAATATCATCAC